AGTCGCCTGCCTCTGCCTCCCAAGTAGCTGGGACCACAGGCGCCTGCTACAACACCTGGCTATTTTTTTTTTTGGTTGCAGCCATCGTTGTTTTGGCGGGCCCGGGCTGGATTCAAACCCTCCACCTTAGGTGTATGTGGCTGACACCTCAGCCACTTGAGCCACAGGCCCTGAGCTGGAGACAGGGTTATTAGAGGGTTAGACAATCAAGGTCTGCTCATTGGCTGGTTTGGGGGTGGAACCCTCAGTCCTTTGCTGTGGGCCACTGTCTAGGTGAGCCAGTTACTGGAATGCAGGACCTTGAGTGGGAGTCCGAGACCAGTTGACTCAATTCCTTGGTTTGGGTGGGTCAGTCAGGCCACTGGAATACAGGACTTAGAAGATACCTCAAAAAGTAGCCCTAGGGTCAGAACAGGTGATGTTTTCTACGAGAAAAGTTAAGAATCTTTACAGTTACCACACGTGCTCTCTTGAAGTGGTGATTATAGAGAAGCAAACAAAGGGACAGTGACTATTACCTAGCAAACAATGGGTCCGTGGCTGATATTTATTTATTTATTTATTCATTAATTTATTTAGACAGAATTTCACTCTGTCACCCTGGGTCACAGCAACCTTAAACTCAAATTCTCCTGTCTCAGCCTCCTGAATAGCTGGGACTAAAAGTGCCTGCCACAATGCCCTGCCAATTTTTGTATTTTTTAGTAGAGACAGGGTTTCACTCTTTCTCAGGCTGGTTTCAAACTCCTGAGCTCAATCCACCTACCTCGGCCTCCCAGAGTGCTAGGATTACAGGTGTCAGCCACCACACCCAGCAATATCTTTTTATTTTTCATTTGAAGGTATCCATTTTTCTCCTGTGGTGACTTCATTACCAGAAATCCTCATTAAACAAAATAGATTTATGTCTTTCAGCTCTAAATTCACTCTATTAATACTCCAATAAGGTTTACTTTCATAAACTTGTTTCCTCAAGCTGGAAATGAAACCATCCATCTTGAAACCTCTGTCTTGCCAATATAGTCAACTGCTCTCAAGGCTTAACCCATTTCAATCTTCCTTCTAACCACCACCCAAAATCTGTTCAGGTTTTTGTCAAGGTTCCCTTTTGTCCTCCCTATAGATATTCTCAAACATTTACCTGAAAATATTTTAATATGCTAGTCTCTCTCAATAATCATGATCATGTTTAAAATGTCACAGTTTCCCTTAGGATATAAGTCATAATATTCAGAATCCAGCCTCCAAAGCCTACAATAACAAAAAACTAATCTTTCTTCTAGTGTCACCCAGGTCATTTGTGTTACAAATCCAGGTCACGGCCCTCACCCCTGATTTCTTGAAGGACTACTGTCTTAGTCTGCTTGTGTTGCTATAAAGGAATACCTAATCTATGAACAAAAGAGATTTATTTAATTCACACTTCTTCAGGATGTACAAGAATCATGGCACCAGCATCTGCTTCTAGTGAGGGCTTCTGGCTACTTCCATCTGGGCAGAAGGCGAAAGAGACCCAGGTTGTGCAGAGATCACGTGGTGAGAGAGAAAGCAAATCTTTGGGAAAGAGATGGCAGGCTCTTTTTAACAATCAGATCTTGTGTAAACCAACAGAGTGAAAACGTACCACAGGGACAACACCAAGTCATTCCTGAGGAATTTGCCTCCCCCTGACCCAAGCACCTCCCATTTGCCTTCCAACACTGGGAGTCCAATTTCAGCATGAGGAGGTGAAATATCCAAACCATAGCAATTACCCACTTGCTATTGTCTTGAATGCAGCTGTCCATATAACTTCAAGCTCATCTGGGGAAATGAAAACTTCAAGTACACTTGGAGAAAATTTCACACCTCAACTCAAACATTATGCCTTCAAAGACACTTCCAGTAACTGTACATTATTTCAGGCTTATTTTATGGGATCTGGAATTTTCCACTGAATCTTACATATTAATTACCTTATATTTCATTTACTATGACCATTGTTATTGGGCATTTCATGTTGGGTCAGCCTTATTCCGTCTCATTCATCCCTCTCTCTGCAGTGAAATTGGCTCATAAATGGTCTGAGTGCATCAATGGCTGAACACAATGCAAGACAGATAATTCATATGTTTCTGATGAGAAGAGGGAATCATGAATTTCTCCCATGGCAGATACAACAGAACCTGGATATGTTGGGGTCACAGTTCATGAGAATAAACGGGCTAATAGTTGGAAAACACCCAGTGATTAGTGAAGAAGCATTCATCAGCCACCAATTGGAGTTATCAAAGAGAGCTAAATAAACACAAATGATGGAGGAAAGGGCATAAAATGATACAAAAGTGCCCACCAAGACAAGGATGCTTTGGGTGGCTCTTGTCTCAGGGGAGGATCTGGAGGAGAAATTGCTCCTGTGAATGTGTTGGACCTGCTGCCTGTGCCTGTACAGAATGAAAACCATAGTGCTGCTGGCCCAGACCATGAGACCCAAACACAAAATATCATGGAAAGATGTCAGTACCGAATATATGGAATTAATGACTCCGTCACGAAGTGGAGCAGAACAATATCCAAGATCTTTTCTCTTTGTGATGTTTTTGTTGCTCAGTTTTCCCATTTTATAAATAGGAAAAATGATATTTACTAGCATGTGGAGAACCCAGCACAGGATACTGGAGGGGCCAATGTACTTTGGGGCTTTTACTTTAAACTCTGTCCACCTGGAGGTCCTGGGGTTGATTGTGACCACCTGGAAGATACTCAAGAGGCAGGTAGTACCAATGGACACACCCCTGGCCACTCTGTGAACATATAAGAAAACTTCGCATCCAAAATAGTCGATGAAATATTTCAACCCAAAAGCTATCATGACCTGTGGAATTCCTCTAGAGAGAATGACCAAGGAGTTGGCTACAGTCAGGTGCTTGAGCATCAAATCCATGGATCTCGGCCTACGTCCACTGACATAAATGAACATATAATGATACCAGAGTGAAAAATTCCCCAGGATTCCAATGACAATCTCCAATAGGAAGATAATTCCTATTTTCAAATCCATGGAGGCCATTCTGTCATTTTCCAAGACTTAAAGTTGGAATTCATATGCAGAAGGTTCACTGTGGAAACATGAGTTGTCAGGTACATTTTCATGGAAAATAGTCTTGCTATTTATTATTCCTTCCTCTTGAGAATTAATAGTTAAAACAATGTTTTGTGTCTTCCGCAATTTAATATTCATAATCCTATGCATTAGGGTTTAATAATATCTTCCATTACCAACTAGGAGAATTCAACCACAGGGAGGTTAGGTGACTCACCTACGTAGCAGTAGAGTTAGGATTTGAACTTGGATAGCCTGGTTGCTTGACATTAGTATACACTACTGTGGTATAGTAGGACAGTTACCTAATGGTGTATATGTATGTATATACACACACATAGATAAACATACACGTATATAAGTATCTTGTTGTGTTTATAATTTTACTTCAAAAATTCCCATTTTTGTCTAACTAGTCTCTAGATCAATGTAACTTATAAATGAATATTCAGGAATCTTAATAAATTATAGATGCACTGAATAATTTCATATGACAAAATTTGATTTGTTTAATGTAGATAAATGCTAGGGTGGCAACAGAAAAACTCATTTCATTTTTGCATGAACAAAAAAATAAAACAATGGCTAAAGTAACTGAATGTTACCATGAAAAAAAATCAACAACTATGGCACCCATCATAGAGAAATAAATGTATAAAATTATGCCATATGCTAAAATATGAGACATGAAACATAAACAGTGAAAATATACTTTAGAAAATAATTATCTTGAAGATGATATAAGTTTATTATTTTAGAATACCCGAAATGAATAGTTAATCGAGGAAAGCTATTAAAATATAAATGTGAAAAATGAAATATGAAGAAATGGAATCTTGCACACTTAATACATTGAAAAGGAAGAAAACCTTGAGAAGGGTGACAGATTAGTAGTGAGCTTAGGAGCAACTTGTTTTACGACCAGAGAAAATATAACAAGAAACATAAGAGACTTAAAACTGCTTTTGGTCCTCATGAGAATATATTTGAAAATTAATTGATTCCTTTACAATGTTTAAATTTAGTCCTTAATTTTTGGTGTCTGAACCCCTCTATTATGATGTCAACCTTTTCTTAAATTCCTTTTTCTAATGTCAGGAAGAAAAATGGTCTCTCCATGATCAATAGACCACAGATATTTTCAGTAGAGACACGTTGACCGTCTCCATTAAGCATGTCACATCCAAATTACAGAAAGACAATTATATTGCAGCAATCACTTCTCAGTCACACTATTTGTTCTGATAATTAGATAATTCAATTGGCTCTATTGTATTCATTTAAGAGCTCCCAGGCACAGAGCTTTTACAGAAATAACTGTACTACTCCTGAAAATATCTCTGTGACTTCTGCACACTGTACTAAATAGCAGATTCATTTTGAAATTACAGTCTTGAAATCCATTAAAATTCAGACTTTAATAACATTTAAACACCAAGAACTCCTTCAGGGAGAATTTCATGAGATTCTGTTGGCAGAAGTCATGGGTGGGTTTAAGGTCTGAGACCTCTAGGTCCTCTGTACAAGCTCACCTCATACCTCAGAAATTATTTATTCCTTCTTCCTGTGTACTTTTATCCCTGGACAAGTTTCTACCCTGAAAGATTTTCTTTTCCAGACACCTATCCAGAATCCAGATACACCTTCTTCCCTTACAGACTATGTCTCTTAAAATGAAGTGGAAAATACCAGACTTCTTGCTGTAGCCAGGACTCTGAACTCCACACGATGGTCATGATGGCTGCAGTGTGTGTCGGAGGTGGGAGCCAGATCCTGAAATATGGGTTTGCAATTCTGTGACCTCATCTCCCCACAGAACTGCAATTACCATCTCATGTACAGTGACAGTGCCACTTCATGCTTGGGGAGCTGAGTATAGTTCTGAAAACTTTTTAATTCCCAGAATCTATTAGAAGTTCGACTCATAAATATATCCAAAGAGACCATTGGAGCATTTGGGAAAGACTCTTTTCCATTATTTCTGGAGGCAGAGAGCGTATCTGGTAGGTCTCTCATGGAACAGAAAACACTGAAGTCTGTTTTCAGGAAGGTTATGTATTTCATTGAATCTCTGCTTCCATGAGCATTTCTTCTACCCCCAATTTATTTATATTTAGTTACTTTATTTATGGACAGAGTCTCACTATGTCACCCTCAGTTGGGTGCTATAGAATCACAGCTCACAGCAACCTCCAACTCTTGGGCTTAAGCGATTCTTTTGTCTCACCCTCCCAAGTAGCTGGGACTACATTACCTGCCACAACACCCAGATATATTTTTGTTGCAGTTGTCATTGTTGTTTAACTGGCCGGGCCAGGTTCAACCCCGCCAGCCTCAGTGTAAGTGGCTGGTGTTAAGGTGTGGAGCCTCTACTCCCAATTTAATTCTTTGTGAATCCTCAGCCCCCAAAGTACCACTATTGTTTCATTTATAGGCAGAAAAATAAAATTACACGAACTACCCAGGAAGGGTTTTTCAATTCATTTAGTGTAAAAGAAAGAGAACGATGTGAATAATTGATTAGGAAATATTTTCTATAGTTCCTCAACTCAGTGCTTCAATACTTTCAATTTCCTCTGAAATTCCTCACAGAATTTGTCTTAATTGGACTTTAGACTTTGGGGAAGGGGAAGGAGGAATATGATCTGTGCACCCACACTACTAAGGTAGGACAAAAAGTGACAGTGACCTTGCTTTTTTATACCTTTTATGAGTGTGAAGTCACCCACAGGGTACTGGCACTCATAATCAAATACAATATTTAATATGTGACACACCAAAGTGAAACCCCACCAT